ATTACACAAAGCGGCTATTCATGTTCGAAATTATTAACTCCTAGTAAATAATTTAAATGATTTTCACTTCAGTCTTATTACCATACTGCCTCTAGCAGTTATTTATGTTTTTCTATAGCGTAAAATATAAATGTTCATGGTTTTTGTTTTGTTTTTACCAAGCATGAACTGTTTCAATAGATAAAGTCAAATAACCTAAAGCAGTACTTGGTAATGACAAGCAGTTTCTGAGGAAAGTTCGTGAGATTCTTGTGGAGAAACATTCACAATGTGCTCATAACAAACCCGATAACTAGTTTATCCAACCAGAAAAAAACTTATCATTCGTGTCTTATTCGCTTTTATCCGTATCTTGTTAGGCATAAAAATACAATTTCAGTGGAATTCCATCTGTGCGTGTAATAACAAACAATGCAGTTACTGACAACAAGGAAATCTTTGAAGCTTCGCATCAGAAGAGAATATTTCCACAAAGCATATATGATAGCATATATATATATGTTATTACTGTTTAAACAGCTGAGGATTTTTGATTGAAGTGACGGAGAGAGAGAGAATAAAAAAAAGAAATATTTTTTATTTAAAATGTAGATTACGTATGTGTGTGTGTATGTGAGTGCGCACGCGTATATATGTATAGAGACTTTTTTATTAAACCGAAAGAGGGAGTGTCTTATAAAAAAATATTTTGATTGAAGAGACAAAGGGAGAATCATATAAACATAGTATTGTCTGTTTGTTTGTTGTTAAGCACAAAGCTATACAATGGGTTATCATTGTTGTGCCAACCACGAGTATCGAAAAACGTTTTTAGCGTTATAAAGAAAAACCTTCAGACTTGCCGCTGAGCCACTGTGGGTGAGGGGAGGGAGTTTATAGAAAAGAGTATAATGTAAAAATATTTTTAGAAGACGGAGGGGATGTTGTATAAAAAAAGAACTATTTTTTAAATAGAAAAGAAGTTCGGTAAATAAACAAAATATTTTGGTTAAAGAGACAGAGGAATATCGTACAAAATAGAAAAAAAATTAATTAAAACGACAAGGGAGTAAGAAGAATCCCCCACGGAGCTTAGATTTTAACATATATTTGTTATTAATGTCTACACAGCTGAACACGTTTTTTTCTGTTTTTATAACGCTTTCTCGATATTTTTTAAGAGGTAGATTTGTGATTAAGCTTAAAATATATGTGTCTAGTTAACCTCCGCCACCTATGTGTGTGTATGTGTTTATCAGCAAGATTCCTCGAAAACGGCTGAATGAATTTGGTCGAAAGTTGGTATACACTTGAACTATGACACATATTAGAAGTGATTAGTTTTTGGAAGGTCAGTGTCAAAGGTAAAGGTCATAACAAGGTCATAAAACTAAAAAAAATCCCTATATGTTAACATGGGATCCGATTTTTCACGCTATTATTTACTCTATAACTCAGTCGAAAATGATCGAATTTTGATGAAACTTGGTGGAAATATGTAGAATCTTATTCCTCATTGTCCTGAAAAAAATGGTCAGTGTCCTTTGATAACGATGGACATGTGGACATGTTTTCCTATTTTTTGAGAGCCGAAGTACTGACTGTTCTTCTAGTTAGTTAACTGTTCTTATTCTTGTCCTTTTTTAATTGTTGAAGTTGTATTATTTTTTGGAATTACCCAGATTGTCCAAATAATGTTAAATTCATGGGGCAATCTGTTTGTTCATTTCAGTGCAAAGCTACACAATAAACTATCTGAGCTCTATCGACCGAAAGAAATCGAACCCCGTGTTTAGCGTTGTGCGTCCGTAAACTTAAATTTTGCTTATGATTTTAACTTTTAATTCTGTTTTATATGAAATAAACAAATTTAATGTTATATTCGCCAGAGTACTTTCAGAAATGTTCGTAACATTACATTTATTTGCTGAAAACCGTATGGGTATATTTCGAAACGCCCAATAAACATCTAATTTGTCATCTCTGCACGGAGGTAAGCCTGCGGACTTATAACGCTAAAAATTGGAATTCGATACCCATAGTGAACACAAACATTATGTATGTTTGTGCTTAACAAACAAAACTACTAAGGCTATTTTTGTCGTCCCTAATCTTGAACTATTGATGCAAGGGAGGGTAACTAGTCAGCAGTTTCTATCATTCACCATACTAGCTGAAGGAGTGACCGTTATGCTTATTACGCACCTACTAAGGAAAGATTTCGAAAGATTCTAAAAGACATCATATACAAAACTAAAAATAAAATGATGAGGAATTGGTTAACCTTTCAAAAACTTGGCCAATGAAAACGTTTACTGTGAGAGAGAAAATATTTAAGTCCGCTCCTCTGGATTGTCCAGTTTCCAAGAGATGTCCATCTTATGAGTTATCCTGAAGCAAAAATGTTGCTTAAACATTATGTAAATAATAACTAGAGCTAACACTGCGGTATGCAAGTTTTGCGACCAGTTTCGTGACTTATGAACATATTACTTACTGTTTAACTCTGTACATACACACACACAAATGTATTTTAAAAAATACACGCACAATGCTCATAAAGTTTGTAACAAGTAATTTTTAATTTAGGTCTAACATATGTAAGTAAAACAAAAATTGAGAACATGAAAAGAAACCTTTTGAAAACTTGTAAAGCTACTTTTTTTAAACAGATTTTTATTCCCACAATGAATCTACGAAAATGCACGTGAACTTTTTTTTTGAAGGGATTCTCTAACGTAAATCACGCAACAGTCCAACTTGAAATTACTTCTCAACACCATTTAAGACTTTTATAAAATCGTGAATATTTTCTCGATTGATTTCGGAAAACTACTTATGTTTCACTCAACGGTTACAAAATGGCGGGTTCTCACAAAAGGAATATTAAACCACACGGATGACGAGATATAAATAGTCTTCACAATGACTGATTAGATATAAATAGGCTTAACAATGACTGATTAAATATAAATAGGCTTAACAATGATTGATCAGATATAAATAGACTTAACAATATTTGTATCCTCGCTAGGATCGGCTTTGCATACTTTCGTAGTACTGATGTGTAGGGACAGTGAGAGAGGGGGGGGGGGGCATGGGGCCATTTGGCCCGGGCCTCAAGCTCAAAGGGGGCCTCAAGTTTATGCACTTCTTATATTTTTTTCCATTTTTTAAGCTTTGCGACTTATTTTTATGCACAGAAAAAGGCTAGAAAAGCATTTATTAAATGTCAAATAATGCTAATAAATATGTGTTAAATATAAGATATTTAAAGCATGTCCCACTTTTCTTTTTGGCTAAAGATTGTCTCATTTTCTTTTCACGTGTCATCATTATTTATTTTTATTACAGCCAGGAGCCTCAAAAGGTAGCAGGGGTCAGGGCCTCCTGAACCTCTGAGAAGGCCTGCTGATGCGTAGTATTTTTTAATTACAACATGGTTAAAAAGCTTTGCTCCAAACCTAACAACACACAAGAAAATATAGCAAGATACATTATATGATTTGTCTTACTTTTGTTTCTTTTATGAAGCCCAAAGCTGTTCAATGAGCTACCGACCTGCAAGGATCTAACTCTGAATTTTAGTGCTAGAACCATATAGCTTAGAACTGAGCTTGAGGGTGGGTTTGTCAAACTTTATATGTGAGTTCCGAGTCAATCTAGGAAAGTAATACTGTTAGTCACGCGCTGTCTCTGAGATCGTATTCGGTGTAGGAAAGGGAATACTGTTGGTCACGCGCTGTCTGGGACAAGGCAGTTCACACATCTTAAATGTGTCAAATAAGTTCATTTGCGACACGAAGAAGAAGAATAAAAAATGTTATTTCACATAATTTTCTTAAATTCTGTGTTTAAAAAAAAACTGAAAACAGTTAATATGAATAATAAAATATGATTATTTTACTCCAGGCTTTGAAACCCTTTTTAGGTCAATTTAAAATTGGATATCTTACGTAAGAAAATATACAATGAACAATCTTTAAATTCAGTTATTTTACAAGCGATTTGAAATTTACATACAAGGTAAGTAGCATCATCTTCTGAATAAATTATTTTTTTATTTTGATATACATTTTAACACATTTCAGACATCTAAGTAGTCTTATATAACACTATTCATACATGTGAGCAGTCATGCCTAACACTATTCATACATGTGAGCAGTTATACCTAACACTATTCATACATGTAAGTAGTCTTAAATAAGACTGATTTATACATGCAAGTAGTCCTACATATGACTAATTCATACATATAAGCAGTCCTATATATGACTAGTTCATACATGTAAGCAGTCCTACATAAGACTAGTACATACAAGAAAGCAGTCCTACATAAGATGTATTTATTTTTACGGATATTTGAGCACGTAATTATTTCAAATGATTAATCACAAGATGCATACATTATCAAGATTTATCTTACATGTCAGGGGGACCATGGGTAGTCAAAATATGGAAAATTTATTCTTTACATTTCCTATCATACTTGAGATAAACATAATTATTTCGAGTTTCACACAAAAGTCCCAACCCAGGAGCAGTGCTGACGAAACTTTCGTTTTACGAAATATATATTTATAAACAAGATAATTTAACATCTAGATCATGATGCTATTATTATATTGTATTACAGGTAACACAGCCATTTATTTCTACAGTGTATACTGGTATCTCGGTGTTCCACAGTATCATCCAAAACCCGTTTGCACTTTTTTCTTCCTCGTCTTTACAATTTAAAAACCCATTCTATTATTTAGATTTTAAACCCTCAGAAAAACAAACGTTTAATATATGGGTGGTTTTTAAAATATTTGAAAAAATAATAATAATTTTATTATATTTGTCCCTCTTACTTCAGCGGAAATATTTCAAATAACGCTAATAATAGAAATGTTTTAAATAACGCTTATAATAGACATGTTTTAAATAACGCTAATAATAGAAATATTTAAATAAGCTAATAATAGAAATATTTAAATAAGCTAATAATAGAAATATATTAAATAACGCTAATAATAGAAATGTTTTTTTTTCGTTCATTATGATATTCATAGCTTCTTCCTCGGCAATAAATATAAATATTTCATGTTTTAACAAATACTTGAAGTTTGGAAAAACAATTGTGTTTTATACCTTTTCGTTTATACTCGTGTGTGAAATTATAATTATATTTTAAGTTTTCTACAGCAGAGTTTCCGAAATTACCACATTTTCCATGATTTTCCCTTAATCCATTTTTGGATCTTAATTTAAAGATTCATCAAGATTTTCAAAAATGTTCACGGGAAAAAGTTCGCGGAATAAATGAATTTTTAATGGATATTTTCAAATGGCTCATTAGCTATACCTATGCTCAGTGAAAATAAAAAGGTTCAGGAACTATCCCATGTCTTTCTACAACTTTTTCCAGTTATTGCTCCACGCGAATCCAAAAAAATTGTCATCTTACAAACAAACAATAAAATAACAAAATTTAATTTCTTTAATGGAACTTAGTGAGCGGTAGCACATTTGATGATATATGTGTACAGTAAATAACATAAACAAAACCATTCGATATTTCAGAAGAAGCGATTTGTGTGGAATGTCTTATTTTTGCTGCCCATTCGTTAAAAGGTACTGGCACACCGTTCCGGAACGTTCCGCCAAAAGAAAAAAGTACTACTTATGCATATTTGTTAGGCCTAATACGACCCTAGTCACCGTCTACAGTGCTTCTCAATTGGGTGGATGGTTCCCCCAGGGTTTTATTTATTTTATGTTGTATTCATTCTAGTTGTAGTTTGATGTATATTTAAGTCATAATAAAGAATTTTACATTTTAATTTAGTATTTGTTTTTGTCTTTTTTTCTAACTGGGGTGAATGAGCAGTTGTGAAAAATGCATAGGTGTAAATGATATTAGAAGGGGTTGAGAAGCACTGCGAGGGCCTAGTGGTCCATTAAAACATGTAAATAAGCATTCTAGTGTTTGTTCCTACTTGAATCTGAATCATACAAAATGTTCTATGAATCTTTGACTTCACTAAAATATACGATACACCAATAAATATAATAGTGTATATATAGCCTAGTTATCTAAAAGCGTAATTTGTATCTAATATATTAATAATATATATAATATCTAGATAGATATAGGTATGATCATACTGATCTTACTTGAAATAGAAATCGTATTAATTCTACTTACCTATTTCAATACTTTATTTTTGAAATGTAACTTAATATATCTGTATTTTTATTAGGTCGAGAATACTTTTATTTAAACTGATGTGAAACATTTAAAATGTTCGTTTTTCAGAATAGCGAAGATATCTTGTTTTCTTGTTACTCTAGCTCTATGCACACGAGCTACAACACTGGTTAAGGTAGTGGACCAATTTACACATATTAAGCCTTTTTACCACACCACAGAGTTTGGAGTTGTCTATGCATTCATTTCCTGCAATACAAGAAAAACAAAAAAGCATTGTTTAATTTTGTCAAGAGATCGTTAATTAATTTAACATTAATAAACAAACATTGTTTAATTTTGTCCCGAGATCGTTAATTAATTTAACATTAATAAACAAGCACTGTTAAATTTTGTCACGAGATCGTTAAGTAATTTAACATTAATAAACAAACACTGTTTAATTTTGTCACGAGATCGTTAAGTAATTTAACATTAATAAACAAACGTTGTTTAAATTTGTCACGAGATCGTTAAGTAATTTTAACATTAATAAGAGTGAACCTCCATCGAGAAAGTGGGTCATGATTTCGAACATTTTAACAAATTTAATGCTTCACTTCTAGTATTAGTAATGTACAAATTTGTATAGGATTTACAGCTTGTGAGTTAACACTTGCTTTCTATTTTTATTGAAGCTCTCAAAAACAACTTATTCCATATTTTTAGCTGAGATTCTTAAAGAGAAGAGTGAGGGCTTATAACGCTGAAAATCTAGTTTCGACTACTGCAAGGGACAGAGCACAGATTGCCCATGGTGTAGCTTTACGATTAATAATAACAACAACAAAAAAGTTATAGTCAAATGTTTTAAATATTTTTATTTCAACATTAATTAAACAATAATTGATTAATATTACTGTAAATTATTATAATACAGAATTAATTCATGTCCAGTTTCTATACAATACAAGCAGTTAACCACGTGGAACATTTAGTGGTTTATAGAATACAAGCAGTTAACCACGTGGAACATTTAGTGGTTTATAGAATACAAGCAATTAACCACGTGAAACATTTAGTGGTTTATAGAATACAAGCAGTTAACCACGTGGAACATTTAGTGGTTTATAGAATACAAGCAATTAACCACGTGAAACATTTAGTAGTTTATAGAATACAAGCAATTAACCACGTGAAACATTTAGTGGTTTATAGAATACAAGCAGTTAGCAACGTGGAATATTCTATAAACCAATAAATGTTTCACGTGGTTAGCTGCTTGTATACTATAAACCACTAAATGTTTCACGTCAAGCAGTTAGCAACGTGGAACATTTAGTGGTTTATAGAATACAAGCAGTTAACCTGGCTCAGTGGTAAGTCTAAGGGCTTATAACGCTACAGATCGGATTTCGATACCTATTATGGACAGAATACAGATAGAAAATTATATAGTTCTGGGCTTAACAACAAAGTTATATTTCTTCGGTATTGTATGCATCAAAAAAGATTTGTCTTTTTAACCCTCAGTTTTATTTTTTTCTCCGATACCTTTAGACAACTATTTAAAGGATTATTGTACATATCGCATGGGATAAAGGGTAAAATGGTCATTTCTTACTCACCAGGTCATCACGACGTCATATCACTCTTGAGCCAATAGTGACATTCGTGTTGAGAGAAAACAAACGGGTATATTTTCAAGTTAGGCTAGCATGAAAAATATAAGGTTTGAAGATGATCGGAAAAAAATATTTAGATAAACGCAAATGTATTTATTTAATATAATTATGAATATTGATTTTCAGAATAAGACGAATGTAATTATGATTGTTATATACGTATAAACAATAGTATTTAATTGACGGTTTTATATAGGAAATATATCTTAGTTTGTATACAAAATGTAATTGTGACACCCGCATTCTATGGAACGTTTTTTATGTAAGTGAATATAATTATTATTATGTATTAAAAGCTGCCTAAATATATTCTGCTGAAGAAACTATAAACGACACTAGAAAGTTAGTTTTGAACTTGCGTGATTAGGAAAGTTAAGAAAAACAGTTCCAAATAAAATCCATTATCATCCTATGCGTTGGGGCAAACATTTTTCGAGAGCTGATTTAGCTTTTACAATTAATACAATGATTTTTCAAGTAATAGATTTTAAATAATAGATAGTAAAATAAGCTCGATTTTCTTGTGATTAAATAGCAAATTCCACTAAATGTTCTACGTGGTTAACTGCTTGTATTCTATAAACCACTAAATCTTTCACGTGGTTAACTGCTTGTATTCTATAAACCACTAAATGTTTCACGTCCGGAGGAGGATGGGGGGGGGCAGAAATACAACTTTAACTGTTAAAGAACAGCAATACACAGTTAAAACTGTTGTTCCTTTAATAAAGCTCTAAATCTTACACATCCACAGCACACCATAAAAACAGTTGTTGCTGTTAATACAGCTCTAAATGGTACACAACAATAGCACACCATGAAAACAGTTATTGCTTTAAATGTTACACAACAATAACATACCATAAAAACAGTTGTTGTTTTAATACAGCTTTAAATGTTATATAACAATAACATACCATAAAAGCAGTTGTTGTTTTAATACAGCTTTAAATGTTATATAACAATAACATACCATGAAAACAGTTGTTGTTTTAATACAGCTTTGAATGTTATATAACATACCATGAAAACAGTTGTTGCTTTAATACAGCTCCAAATGTTACACAACAACAACACATCATGAAAACAGTTGTTGCATTATTACAGCTCTAAATAATAGCACACCATGAAAATAGTTGTTTAAAATATGGCTACTTAATGATGTCACTTACAACTCACAGAACAGGCTTTATTTTATAAGCAAAGTATTTTTTTCCTGTAAAGCGTTTAATAAATGGGCAATTGGTATCTTTTCTGTTTCATGCACCGCGGTCAAATGGAAAGAAACGTATATTTTTGAATGCTGATTTCATAAATATAAGTTAAAATTTGAAGAAATGAAAATAATATTATTTATATTTTGCTTACGAAACAAAGGAAGTACTTTTAGCATTACATATATATATATACCTATGTATTTAAAAGAATTGCAGAACATCAAGACAATACAAATTATTTTAATGTGAAAATTCAGAAATATTCTTAAATAATTATTTGAATGAGATCAACATTTTCATGCCAACGACACCATACGAACTCACAGAAATAAGAGTCAATGATGTTACGATTGGTTCCGCAATGTTGCTTGTTACGTCTCTTAACCACGTTCCAAGTACAATTTGCTACAGAATGGGAAAATATTTTCATTTTTAAGAATTTTTTTGTAATTTGATTTATTTTCTATTTAAATAAACACGTAACAGTTTACTAATTAGAAAATATTTCTTTTCATTTCTCCAAATTTTAATTTATATTTCTGAAATCAGCATTAAAAACTACATAAATATACATTCAAAAAGGTATATTTCTTTCTAATTGAACGCGATGTATGAAACAGAAAAGATCCAGCAACTGTTAAGGAAAAAACATAAGAAAAGAATTACTCTGTCTCCGTATAACTTAAACAAACAAAAAAAAATACAAACGAACAAGTTATACTCTTCTAACAAATCCACACAAAAAAAGGAGGGAATAAGGCACATAATGTGACAGCTACTCACCAGACAAGCAAGGTGGTCCTATACAGTGTTCTATTATTGAGGGTTTTGACTCGGGTTTACACGAGTTTTCCGCTGGTCTCTCAGTTTGCAGCCATACACACTGTAGTACGCGGTTCTTGAAACCAACCTCTTCGCAACCGGCATTACACTAAATAAATAAAATGTTTTATCTTAGGATTTACTACTATTGGTCTTAGAAGTGGGTAATTCAACTGATTGTAAAGGATAATTTTTCAGGGGGACAGACCGACATTCCAACAACTGTCCGCCACTAGTTCTGGAGATTGTTTTATTCTCTATATTGTTATACATTTTTTTCATCCTGTTTCTATAGTCACAATAATAATAATGGTGGTGATATTGATATTGTTATTATTATTATGAGAATTTTTTTATAATGTTTCAAAAGATTAGAAAGGTTTCATTACGGGGTAACAATAATATAGGTCTCTGGAATTGTTACAAATATATCTCAAAATATTATCGGCTTATGACCCTAATAATAATATAACATTATATACGTACTACGTAATATAACAACCTGTATGAACATTAAGCCTACATAAGTAGTTGCTTTTGCGTTCAATTTTCGGAATATCGGACTATGATCCTTTCCAGCGTTTGACTAGTTTTCGTCTTTTACACAAGAGACCAGACCTAATTATCTGACTAAATTATTTGAATACACTCAGGTTCATGTAGCTTGTAATTTTCAAAATATCAAATATCTTAAACAATAGATGGTTTTTCTATAAACAAAAGAAGGAACCTTACCTGATAACCGAGACCACAAGGCTAAGCGAATCAAAAATGATAATTATTATAGGTGTAATTGTATGAATGATGCCAACTGTCAGAATCCAACGTCCAACACACACAAATTATAATCAGAATTATAAAAAATATGGCGTCATATTCTTCTTGATCTCCGTATTTTTCATAAGACATGAACATTTCTGGATATCTCATCATCTTTCATAAGGAATTAATACTTTTTGAGTGCATTTTCTTATATATAAGGGATTAATATTTCTTGACCAAGGTCCAGCCTCCCAAACTACAATACATTGACGGTTTGATTAATGAGATGTTTTTTGTACTTGGTAATGCCTCAGTCTTGACAGAGAGTCTTGAATGTAAATCTTAAAATGCAATGTAAAGCCTGCAACTAAATAACCCATTAAAGTAACTACCCAACCAACCTCCAACCAAGGTCCAGCCTTCCAGACTCCAATACATTGACGGTTGTAACATTCCCGGAATTCGATGGGTTTTTCACTTGAGGAACAATCGTCTTCGGCTACTTTTGTCCCATTAGGGAAAGAACAGCTGACATTTCTTTCTTGTTGTCCTGTATACAAGCTTTTGCAGCTGGTGTTCGAACACTAAAATACCACCAGAAGATAACATGATAAATGTATGCATTTAGAATATTGTTCTTATTAGTAACAAGTCATTGAATGCAATCCATAATTTAACACCTGTAGATTTTGTGTTTATAGGTTACTCGCCTATCGTTTAAAAATACAGTATCAGAAACTAGAAATATTAGAAATTTGTGAGTAAGCCAAAATGTTTAGCTTTCACAGTCTTCTTTGTAATATGGAACATACAAGCCAAACAATTTAATAAAATGTAATTTGAAATGGTCACGTTGTTTTGCGTATTTTTGTCGTTTAACGTCCAACAAAGTGTCAGAGGAGGAATGACCACAGCTTTTTATAGTTTGAGGTCCAACAAAGTGTCAGTAGGAGGAATGACCATAGCTTTTTATTGTTTGAGGTCCAACAAAGAGTCAAAGGAGGAATGACCACAGCTTTTTATTATTTAAAGTCTAACAAAGAGTTAGTAGAAGGAATGACCACAACTTTTTATTGTTTGAGGTCAAACAAAGAGTTAGTAGGAAGAATGACCACAGCTTTTTATTGTTTGAGGTCCAACAAAGAGTCAGAGGAGGAATG